TTTTTTTTGAGACGGAGTTTCGCTCTTGTTACCCAGGCTGGAGTGCAATGGCGCGATCTCGGCTCACCGCAACCTCCGCCTCCTGGGTTCAGGCAATTCTCCTGCCTCAGCCTCCTGAGTAGCTGGGACTACAGGCACGCGCCACCATGCCCAGCTGATTTTTTGTATTTTTAGTAGAGACGGGGTTTCACCATGTTGACCAGGATGGTCTCGATCTCTAGACCTTGTGATCCACCCGCCTCGGCCTCCCAAAGTGCTGGGATTACAGGCTTGAGCCACCGCGCCCGGCTGGCTTTTTCTTTTTTAAGAAAAAGTTTATTAGATAATAAAACCAAACTAAAGAATATTTATAAAATATGCAAACGAAATAGCTACAATAATACAAATAACCATGTATGTTAGTCTTCTATTGCTGTGTGGCACATTACCACAACTTAGCTGCTTAAAACAACATCCGTTTATCAGCTCACAATTTTGTGGATCAAATTTCAGCATGGTGGGGCAGGGATTCTTCTCAAGGTATCATAAGGTGGAAATAAAGGTGTCAGCTGGGCTGAATTCTCATTGGAGGGAAGAATCAGCTTCCAGGTTCACTCTTGTTGACAGAATTCGGTTCTTTGAAGTTGTAGGATTTAAGTCCTCATTTCCTTGATGTATGGTCCCCTCCAACTTCAAGCCAGCAACGGCACATCTTACGCTTTAAATCTCTGAATTCCTGTTCCGCAAATAGCTGGAGAAAATGCTCTCTTTTTAAAGACTTCATGATATCAGGTTTGGCCCACCCAGATAATCTCATTTTTTATTAACTCAAAATCCACTGATTAGTAGCCTTAATTACATTTGCAAAATCCCTTCTGCAATATTCCATGACATAATCACAGAAATAACACCAGGGAGCAGAAATCATTGGGGCCATCTTAGAATTCTTCTTACCACACTTTGAATCCAACACCCAGGTAAGAAGATGGAAACATTGTCAAACCCCCGGTCAGCACTTTCCTGTATCCCCTTCCTTCTATCTCGAACTTTAAGTCTAGACTTTCCTAGCTTTTCGTTTCCCTCTTACCATCTACAATGCATCTACACTGATGATGCATGCAGGCGTATTGCTGTAGTATAATGCTTTTTGCTGACTGTAGGAATAGACCACATTGCTTTTACTGCTCCTTTCTGCGTCAGTTTGCACACAAACTGTTTCCAATAGTTTTTGACATTTTTGTACATTTCTCCTAGTTCACCCATGCCAGGTTTTCTCAAGAGTAAAAACCTAAAAGTGTAATCACAGGGTCATGGGATTTGAACATCTTTAGCTCTACTGAATGTACAAAAATGTTTTCTACAGGTTTTAATTTCCAACTTAATAACATTATGGTCAGAAAACATGATCTATGTAACTTTACTCCTTTGTGTGTGTGTGTGTGTGTGTGTGTGTGTGTGTGTGTGTGTGTACTTTTTAGCCTAGAATATACTCAATTTTCATAAATATTTTGCATAGGATATAGAAAAATGTTCCACATCAGATGAAGGTTGTTTATTTTGCTATTCAAATCTTTAGTGTCCTATGTTTTTGATTGTTTGACTTATCCTCAGAATCAGAGTTCTTTAAAGGTAGAGAATTTTTCTATTTTATTCGCTTCTGTATTCCCGATGCTGGTACATAATAGGTGTGCTCAATACATGTTTGTTGAAAGAATGCATTAATTACCGAGAAATGAATGCTAGCGTCTTCCTCTATTATTGTGCATTGTTCATATCCTTGTACTTCTCAATATGTGCTTTTTATATTTTGAGGCTATGGTATTAAGTGCATAGAAGTGTATAGAGTGTTCTGTTTTTCTGGTGAATTGAATCTTTTATCATTATGCAGAAACCTTATTTTTCACTAGTAATGCACTTAGCCTTAAGTATTTTGTATCTAGTATGAACATGGCAACAACATCTTCCTTTCTGTTGCTATTAATTTTGCTTAATATCTTTTTCTATTTTAAACTTCTTTCTGTGCCCTTATGCTTTAGATGTATCTCTTTTAAATTGTATATAGCTAGACTTCTCAATCTCAGCTGTCAACCTTTGTCTTTTACCTGGAAAGTGTAGTATCTTTACATTTATTATATCAATATGCAACATTTAAAATTGTTTCTCCTGTAGAATTTTGTGTATCCTATTCTACAGCATTTTCCTTATTTCTCCTACTCTATTCTTGCCCTCTTTTGATCAAGTTTTCCTATCTACTAATTTAATGTTTTTTAATATCTCTATTTTACAACTTTCTCTAGGTATTTTAATAACCATGTTTAACAATTCAATATTAGTCAATGTCTGTCCCCATCTTCCTCAGTGATGAAAGAACCTTGTAACATTACTTTGATTCTGTTTCCCTCAGTTTTTATGTTATTGTTATAGCTCAAATTAGACATTGTTACTATTTGTGCAGTCACTGTTTTTCACCAATACTTCTCTCTTTAGTTATTCATATATATTTCAGGTCATCCATCTTGGATCATTTTCCTTTTGCCTAACAAACATCCATTCAAATTTCTTTTAATGAGGGCTCATCTGTTGCTACTCAACTGTCTTAAGTTGGCTTGTCTGAAAATGCTTTATTTATCCTTCTTCTTAAAAGATAATTTCTCTGGGTATATACGTTTCTGGTTGACTGACAGGTTTTTTTTTTTCTTATCACATTAAATAAGTTTTACTGCTGTCTCTGTAGTTATGCAGCTGTTAGAAAATCAACTGACAGCTAAATTCCATTTGTTGGTAGTTAACGCGCTATTTCTCTCTGCATATTTTTAATTTATTCTCTTATTGTGACATTCTGCATTTTTGCTATGATTAGTATATTATCATATTATTTATATATGTAAATTCAATGCTATGTGTATATATTTGTATCTACATTTATATCTATATTCCATGAGATTTGTTGGCTTCTAGAATTAGGACTAGTGGTTTTTAACAGTTATCGGAAATTTGTAGCCATTATGTCTTTGAAAATTACATTTGCCATTCTTTTATATCCTCTTAGAACTCCATTAGAATGCTATGCATCTTACATTATTCCACATGCCTTTTCTGGATCTCTAGTCACACATAAGAGAATCTTCTCACTCTAACCACCATCCAGTCTATCTTGTAATTTCTATCTGTGATCCATTCTGAATAATCTCTTCAGATCTTCTAATTTTCTAATACATCTTTTACTAGGCAATGCGTATGTAACATATCTCTTGAGGTTTTTAATTCAATTATTCTACTTTTTACTTCTAGAAGTTCTATTTGGTTCTTTTTTCAAACTGCTTGTTTTTTTTTTTCTGACAGTCTTGCTCCTTGCTCATTTTTTTCAGTTTTCATTTTTTATTCTGAATTTGATCATTCCAACACTTGAATTTTTTGCAGATCTTAGCTGTCGGTTTTATCTTCCAGCTGTGTGTGTGTGTGTTTGTGTGTGTGTATGTGTGTGTGTCTGTTTTATGATTTTTATTTACCAATGCTCTTTGGAATTTTGCCTGTTAGAATGCTTTGGAGTTTGGTTTGACATTGCATTTCTTCAGAAAGGATGTAGGTTTGCTTCTGCCAGTTTCCCAAGGCCTTGACTAGCCCTGGATCATTTTGAATTAAGTTCTCTGAGGGTTTTTTGTTTTTTGTTTTTGATTACACAGGTAGCAGATTTGAGCTGTAATTCAGGTAAAGCCTGGCTATGGGTAATAAGAATTCTCAGAGATTTTTTTTCCTCCCCTTCAGGGCAAAATTTAAGACAGATAAAGTTTTGCTGCTTTTTATCAATGCAGTATGTTAGTATGAGTCACTCTTACAAGCAAGTGCTAATATGTACTCAGTAGGTGGCAGGATCAGGGAGGGCTTCATTTATCTTGTTCCCAATACTCCTCCCAGCCACCAATAGGAAAGCCAAAATCACCAAGTGCAGGGCCAAAGTTGGCTTCAGGGCTCCTTTACTTCCAGAATTCCCATCTTCACTTTATTTGGGGGCTCTAGGTTTCTTATTTTCTTGACAGCTCAGCCGTCCATTTAAAAAGAGCATCTCAATTATTTTCTCTCCTCTCCACAATCTTGAGGAGTCTGGCTAAATTCTGGGTAACTGTTTTTAAAAAAGAAGGCACACATGGACACAAGGAGGGGAGCATCACACATTGGGGTCTGTCAGGGGGAAATAGGGAAGGGACAGTGGGGGGTGGGGAGTTGAAGAGAGAGCATGGGGAGAAATGCCAGATATAGGTGATGGGGAGGAAGGCAGCAAATCACACTGCCATGTGTGTACCTATGCAACAATCTTGCATGTTCTTCACATGTACCCCAAAACCTAAAATGCAATTAAAAAAAAAAGAAGGCATCTGTTAATCTTGATACAGTGAAAGTAGCAGGAGAAGGTACACATAAAATCTTATAATTTTAAGTATTCATTAAGATTTCTGTCCATTTTGATTAATTTTTGCACATCGTACAACGTATGCATCAAAGTTGGTTTTGGGTGTGGATATCCAGTTGTGCTAACACCATTTGTTGAAAAGACCATCTTTACCCCAGTAAATTGCCTCAGTGTATTCCTTGAAAGGAGAGCAAAGAATTCACATAAATTCTAATTAATAGCATAACGTACCTTCAGAAAAGCAAAGAATCTTCTCATAATTAAAAGTCATACTACCCAAATTTGAGATCATTTTAGAAACATAATCAACACTTAAACAGTCCAGTTCATATGAAGAGAGAAAACATAATTAATAAAAAGCAATTAACAAAATTGAAATTCTAAAAAATACCATTTACACTACCACCAAAAATATTTCATACTTAGGGGAAAATACATCAAAAAAAGTGCTGACATGTGTTCTAAAAACTAAAAATTGATGAGAGAAATTAAAGGCCACCTAAATGGCTGAAATATACTACGTCCATGGATCACAGACTCAATATTTCTAATATGTCTGTGCTCCCCAATGAATACATAGATTCACCTGCAATCACAATCAAAATCTCAGAAGCCTGTTTGTAAAAATTGGCAAGCAGATTCCAAAATTCACATGGAAACAGAGAACCTAGAAGAGTCAAAGCAACTTTGAAAAGTTTAAGGATTAAAAATACTTGCCTTCAAGTTATATTATAAATTTACAGTTATTGAAACAGTGGCACTGGAATAAAAATAGATAAATAAACCAGGGAAACAGATTCGAGTCTAGAAATAAATCTACACAAATATAGGCAACTGTTTTTCAACATACATGCAGAGGCAATTTAGTGGGATAAGATGGTCCTTTCCACAAATGGTGCTAGCACAACTGGATATTCACATGCAAAAAATAAACCAACCTTTACCCACACCTTGCACAATATACAAAAATTAACTCAAAAGGGACAGAGATCTTAATGAATACTTAAAATTATAAAACCTTTGAAAGAAAGCATAGGAGAAAATGTATGTGGCCTTAAGTTAGACAATAATTTCTTAAATAAGAGGCCAAAAGCACAATCCATATTAGTATAGATTGATAAATTTGGCTTCGACAAAATTTAAAACCTCTTCTCTTCTCTTCAAAATACACTCTTGAGAGCATAAAAATGGGTGTTAACATGTGACACAAAATAAGAAAAAAAGGAGTATAAAAAGGCTACAGACTTGCAAATTATATCTGATAAAGGACTTATAGCTAAAATACATAATCTCACACGAGTTAGAATGGCTATCATTAAAAAGTCAGGAAACAACAAATGCAG